AGTGGCTCCCAAACTTGAGCTTGCATCAGAATCACCTGGAAGGCTTGTGCAAGCACAGGTTACTGGGCCCCACCCCCGAGTTTCTGATTCACTGGAGGTTTGGGATGGGGCCTGAGACGTCATGTTTCTAACAAGATCCATAAAGTGCTATGCTGCTGAATGGGGACTACACTTTGGGAACCGAGTATTAGGCCACTGACTCATCAGAACACCAGTATTGCCCCTAGCGTTGGGGTGAGTGAACTGAAGTTCACAGAGCAGGAGCAGAAGGTCAGAGGCCCTGGGGGGGGGGGGCTGGCAGCAGAGTCCAAGCTCACCTCTCCTTCAAAGAAGCAAATAAGATACAACAAGACAGAAATCAATTCGGATGCCAAGGCATAGCCAAGGGGAGGTGGCCAAAATGGAGATGGGGAGATAAATCCAAACTGTGAAGCCCCCTATCTTTCCCAAAGATGTCAACAGTTGAGTTAAGGATAGAAATCATGAAAATGGGTATGTAAAAACATGTAGACGTATAAATTGTTCCAGCAGTACGTTCATTTAGGTTATCCTCTAATGTCTCTTACAAGAATAAGGAATCGAAAGTTCATGGCAGCAGCATGAATGGTGAGTGAAAGTGAGGAAGGACAAGCTGAACACAGAAGGCGACGGTGTGTTTGTGCGCGTGTGTGACGAAGAATGGGGAAGGGTGTTACAGATGTTTTCACACAGATCGTAAAACGGCACCAACTCCCCTGTAAAAAGTTGAGTCACTCACCAGATGAGACTAGAAAAGCAATAGCAGCAGCTGCAACAATCTGCTATTTGCAAGAGGCCTGTGTAAAACCAAAGACAATAGCCTCCCATTTGAGGAACTGTCTCCTGCAGGGGCTGCAGACTGAAATGCCTACAGGACCCAAGCAGAGACCTTAACTCAGTGCGTGGGCCAGGGATGGGGCCGTGGGGAATGGTGTGGACAGAGGCAACCGGGCCAGCACTACTCAACTCCAGCCAGTTGTCGCTTTTCCAAACGTGGGCCCAGTGTTGTGCATTTTTTTTGTTTTTCAGAGGAGCTAGAAATCTGGGTCACCTGAAATCTCCAGATTTTTTAACAAATTTAAATATTTCAAGAATCCTGGCTGGTAAACAAAACATATCTGTGGGCTATGCTGGGCTGGTGAGGCCTACAGATTTGCAATTTCTAGTCTAATGTCTCTGATGCCTGGGCTTTAAACCAGAAAAAGGAGGGTAGAAGCTCAGTGGTCCCAGTCCTGAAAAGTGGTCACATCATTGAAAAAGAAATAATAATACTAATATTACTAGTAGTAATAATGTGTTTATATAGCTCTACAAGCGACAAGAGACTGACCTACTTGATGCCAAAGGTTCTTCTTACCAACCAGAAAATGAAGAGACAGATTTTCCTATTTTAAAGATGAGGAAACTGTGGCTCAGAGATTAACTCACTAGTCCAGTCATCAACCAATACATGGAAAACTCTAGAACTAGGACCCAGCTGGTTCTTCAGAAT